GAGAGAGAGAGAGAGAGAGAGAGAGAGAGAGTACCGTACAAAGCTTTGATATATATTTTGGCAGCCAGTTGAACTGTATAACTGACAACTTCATAGAACCTTGCAAGGCATCACAAAAAGAAAAAAGGCGCCTACAAGTTCACTATCTAATACCAGATCTATTATCAGAAAGTCAAAATGAATTCATCCAATGTTGTAAATCAAAAGTGATAGACATGCTTTTGAATGAAAGAGCGGAAACGAAATATTACTTCTTTATCGTTGATCCATCACCAGACTCTTCACACGTCATACAAACTGTTTTTATTTTGCAGTATGTTCTCTTGGACAGTGATACAAACGTCTACATAGTAGAAGAGAGATTTATGAAATTTGCAGATTGTAACAAGAAAACAGGAGAAGACGTCGTTAAAATTATCCTTGATACACTGAATGAAAAAAACATTCCAATTACAAACTGTGGAGGCCAAGGCCACGACAATGGTAGCAACATGTGTGGTCTGTATAATGGTGCACAGGCTCACATTTTAAGACAGTGTTCACTTGCCACATACTCTCCTTGTGGCTGTCATAGTTTGAATTTGTGTAGCGTGCATTCTGCAGAAAGCTGTTCAACAGTCATTACTTTCTTTGGACTTGTACAAAAGCTGTATAACATTTTTAGCTCCAGTCCACAAAGGTGGCAAATTTTGAAGCAAACCATCCCCAGCTCTTTGCACAGTATATCTCAGACACGTTGGTCAGCACGTGTTGATAGTGTCAGGCCTTTCGGGGGACTGTGGAAAGCTGTTCAAACTGTTTTTCAATGTTTTTCAAATGAACCTCACCACAGAAACACGTTCAGATTTGATTGGTGTTCTTAAGTACTTTGCATCGATTGAATGTGTGATAATGGCAACTTTTTGGCTCAAAATCCTCACAGTAGTCGATCACAGAAATAGAGTCCTTCAAGCACGAGATGCGACGCTTGACGTTGAGGTGGCAAATATCAATTATATTCTGATTAAAGATCTGAAAAGCTTACGATCAATGGGACGCAATCTTGAGTGAGTCCAAATTAGTAGCAGATAACTATGAGATTGAGCATTCATTCGCCGAAACAGCAAAACGACAAAAGAAAAGGAAGCTTTTAGCGGACGAGACAGAAGATGTAACAGACTACAAAAATCCCGAGAACAAATTCAAACATGAAGTTTTTTATGTCCTCATTGACTGCCTTCTTGGAAATTTGACGACAAAGTATACAGTGACAAAACTCGATTTGTTAATTAGTGTTTTGTGGAAATATTCCCAAGAGGAAGTCGGCCTTATTCGTGATCTTGCAAACAAATTGCGCACGGAATATGCAGCAGATGCATCAGCAGACCTTGCACAAGAGTTGGAACATTTAAAAGTGATTCATTCGGCGAACAGACTTCATTCCCTGAAACTGGATGCTTTGTTTCCAAAAGTTGTAATCATGTTGAGAATCCTCTGCACCTTGCCTGTCATAGTTGCTCAAGCTGAACGTTCCTTCAGTACCCTTTCTCGGGGGAAAAACATTTTGCGGTCCACAATATGTCAAGGACTCACTAGTCTTGGAACTTTGGCCATAGAGGCCAGTCTAGCGCGAAAATTGGACTACTAAATCAATAGTTGACAGCTTTGCTAGAGCTAAATTCCGTAAGGCTCCGTTGTTGTAAAAAAAAAAGGTATGCTACATTACAATTTATTTTAATTTCTGTCATTGGTTTATTCATCTTTCCTTCATTTTTAACTAACCGGTAAATCAGAAAAATTTTATGTTGACAACACCCAGCACTTGATGGAGGGGGGTGGGACAAAGGAGGCTGGGGGG